TCAAAGAAGGGCATCCCCGCCCACTCTGCTAATCGTCTTTAACGTTGGGCGTTGGCATTACTGGGGTACGACTTCGACATCCAGTATCGACGTTCCGAAGATTTCGGCCAAGCTGATGCGCTGTCCAGACTTATCAGTAGCCACTCCACCACTGATGATGACACAGTCATAGCTACAATATTAGCAGAAGAGGATCCCAGTGCTACACTCTTAGCGAATGCCATTCGAGCAATGCCTGTTATCGCTGAAGATGTTCAAAAAGCTACCAGAGACGACCCGTTTATTCAAGAAGCGATCACGTATGTTCAGAGCCGATGGCCAGTTAAGCAGCTAAGTGGTGATATGAAACATCTAGCGAATCGTTGCAGTGCTCTATGTGTTGTTAACGACTGTCTGATGTTCGGTGACCGTGTAGTAATTCTAACAACCCTACGTCCCAAGGTCCTACGCCAATTTCACTCTGGACACCAAGGGATAAACCGTATGAAATCCGTCACTCGGAGCGCTGCATATTGGCCAAACATGGATACGTACATTGTCGATTTCGTCAGAAGAGGTTCACAGTGTCAAACAGCTGCGAAAAATCCCAAGTTACTTTCAGTACCCTGGCCAAAGTCAGAAAAACCCTGGTCACGAGTGCACATTGATTTCGCCGGACCCCTAGATGGTACCACATATCTGATACTGGTTGACTCTTTCTCCAGATGGCCGGAGATATTGCCGATTTCCCCACCATCTACAACTCGAACCATCAAACTTCTTAAGCAGATCTTCAGTCAGCATGGTCTTCCAGAAACAATAGTAACAGACAATGGTTCGCAGTTCACATCCAGTCAATTCCAAGAGTTTTGCCTGCAAAATTCGATCAAGCATGTCCGTTCTCCGCCATATCACCCGCAATCTAATGGACAAGCCGAAAGGTTCGTTGACACATTTAAACGAGCCATGTTTAAATCAAGAGGGGAGGGGACCACATACGACATCATAGAAAAATTCCTATTCGTGTATCGGACGACCCCACATGACTTATTACCAAACTACAAGTCCCCTGCTGAGATGCTTATTGGACGGAAGCTACGAACAGTTCATAGTGCGATGACGCCTAAGCGATTGGCCCAGCAAAGACCTCGAATGCAGACGACGCGAATGCCTTATGAAGTTGGTGCGAAAGTGTATGCGCGGGACTACAGACACGGATATGATAGATGGATAGAGGGTGAAGTCACTAAGAAACATGGGAACGTAATGTATGATGTCAGGGTGAGTCCAGATATTTGGACCAGGCACCATAATCAACTAAGGCCAAGGGAAGCTGATAAAAAGGGTGACATTACGAAACGCCTCTCACTCGACTTACTGTTGGATACTTTTCAACTTCCGACAATAACTCCAACAGAGACTACTGAGTCATCTACTCAAGCAGAACATCCTCCAAGTTCAGAGTTGCTATCTAGAAGGTGGTCGGATCGCAAACGTAAACAACCAAAGAAAATTCAGATAAACCCTCGGCTGCATCGCTATTAATTTCTTTTTTTTCAGAGGGAGGTGTTAGGATATTCACCAAATATCCTAAGAATACTATTTTTAGAAGTGCAATTCTATTGGTCGATTTCTATTGGCCGAAATTATGATCGTTCTTATCGTCAGGGTCAAACACTTCAATGTTACCTCTTATTGGTCATCTGGACGGTCAATGTCATTCAAATGTTCTTTTATATTGGTCGTCCTAAATTGGCGATGTCACAGACGTTGATGCTTTTTCTTATTCGACCTTAGTGTATAAATACGCGCTATCTGGGAGACTTAATAATTCCGTTTCCCCTGCCTTCTTCTTCTTCTGTATTCGACCCAAAAAACAGCTTCCTTCCACGGTGTTACGATCTGATTTCTAGGAGATTTGGAAAAGCCTTTTGGGTCGTATTGTGATATTTGAATTGGACGCCGTTAGGACTGAAGAGTTTTACGTAGCCGCGTTTACAACAAGGATGAAGACAAATAATTCCTCTAAGTATGCTATTCAATTTCTCTAGGCAGTTAGCCTATTTGTTAAATGTGCACGTTTAGTCCGAAACTCATATGACTCGACAGGATATAGAAACTTAGACGAGGTTATTTTTTAAAATACTTCGCTTACTATATTACTTAGGCCTAAACGTTGACAAATTGACTGCAGCTGCTTCGCTACATATTCAAACATAGGATAAAAAATTGGAGTATTATTAATAACCCAATTTTAATAAAAGCACACTGACTGTTGTGCTACGAATACTGGCTTCTTATATTGTGAACAAAGATCAGCTACACTTCTGGTGGTAATTTTCATACCGTAAAACTTCACTGTATGCAAAAAACGCCGTACTAGACATTCTAGAACTAGATAAAAAATTTGATTTCCAGTGAATGTTTAACATCAGCGACTTCTTAAATTAGCGCGAAAGTCACACTGGCTACCTTGAATTTGGGGATTGTTTTTCAGGGACGTTGAAGCTAGATACTCCTGTCGTTAAAGGTAAATCATATGATCAAATCTAGGACATATATAATCAACAAAAAAACTTTAGTAGACTGCGTTATGTTATAGGATTATTACCTGCATTACAATTAAGCATTTTTCTACTCACTGTTGCACATGAATAATTTTTACTAGGAAATAGGGTAATAAACAGTCTCAGAATATCCTACTGAACTAAGCAATGTTGATACTTATTCCGTAATAGAGCTATCTGCACTTATCATCAGTCATTCGTCAAAGTAGTTGGCTAAAAGTCATGATGGGAGCTTGTGTTAGCGGTGCCATACGGCATTCTTGTGAGACTGCATTGTGCAAACACTTCAGTTAATTCGTCTCCATCTATGGGTTTTACTTTGTAAATTTTCGTAATGTAAGCATTCGCCCGGCACTTTTTGTCAGTCAACGATTAAGACATTCATTTTATTTATCCATTTATTACATACAAATACTGATATGGCTGAGTATCGGGATGGATATGAGTCACACAAATGAGGATATGTAACCTGTTCATACCCGACTCCAATTCATTAACTGACCGCTACTTTTCCCAACCGGTCCACAATATGTAGGCCACCAGGATGACATTCGCAGCATGTCCAAGCCCCTGAGGCCAGTATTTCAAAATGGTGTCACTAGTTGAGTCGCCGAACCTGAGTAATAATAACTGAGTTGCTACTGAGTGTCAGTAATCCTTCAGAAACAACAATAGATAAACTTGGAAAGTCGTCACACATCCTTAACTTGAAGAGATCAGGTTTCGCAAACACGGAGAAAGACTACCCTCACTGGCTTGATCTTCTACAACCGAGCCAACGTCATGACGGCTCTAAGGTGGGCCGCTCTCACTCACTTTACGTAGATTGATCTCACCACTGATGCCACCACTAGCATTCACACAGCTGCCCAAACACACGAATTTCCCGACTACTTCTGACTACACTCTCGACAGTGAGTGCAGGTACAGAATCTTGCCAGTCTTGTAAAAGTGTTTCGCAAAGAACATACCGTACGTACGCACAGTGGTTGCGAAGCGACTAAGTGCGATTTGTATAGGATGTGTGTTGTCGCACTATACAACAATATGGTCCTCGTACTCGATCGAGAAGCACTCCTCCAAGTAACTGATGTGCATTATCCTCTTTGATCTGATCTGTTTTTAAAATCTCATTGACGACAACGTTTAAGGGAAATGTTAACATTGGATAACCACGCTTTATCTAAAACCTTGAACAGAATAGTTGGGGCTTGTGGTTGTATATCGTCGCTCTTCGTTAGATGTATGTGTACATAGCTTCAACCTAATATTAAACTCGAATCCACTCTTCAAACAATAATCCAGGAAGATATTCCTGTCCAACAAAAGAAAAGCGGCTCTGACGTCAAGAAACAACAATTGCTAGTTTGCGATTAGTACGGTGGTACTCTTACTGTTATTGGTGTTGGGAGTATGAACAGTACGATGTGAACAAAGCCGACTCTTCTTCGTTGTCCAGTGTCATGGTTTTTTAAGTCTTTAAAGCAAGAGCCGAAAGTTTTGTTTCAGTAGGAAGTAGACTTATCTCTTAATGGTTGCTTAAAAGATCACTTAGACATTTTGGCTGTTAGAAACAACTGTCTATGCGTTCCAGGATGTTGAGGCACTCATCCCCAAGATATATTTCATCAGATAATCCCTCGCAAACTGTCTACCCACATGCAGTTTGGTATTGTTTAGAATTTTTTGATTTATTTTGTCTGTGTTGGTAGACCTTATTATATGATTTGCTATGATGCACAAACTTTTTGTTTCTGCAAAATACTCAAAACAAATTACTTGGGAATTTATCAGACATTCAAAAATATTATCAGAGGACAAACACGTCGTTATTTAAATTACACTGGTGAAAGCTAAATATCTTCCATTTAATTAACATTATTCCGATGAACGGAATGTTAAAAATCAGCAGGCAGTTTCGAGAATAATATAGCTAAACTTGATTGTAATATAGATTGGTAAACGTCATGTCACAAGTTCTCATTTTAAAAATATCCGAAGTGTTTATGGGTGGTTATCATCCAAACTAATTATGTTCCCAAAGTCTTAATCCTAAGTGACAACTATCTCTTATTGTCACTAACGTTGCCAAATTAAACCCTCTTGCGTCTACACCTTAGTAACTAATCGATCACTTAATAACCCTCTAAATTATGTGGAAGTGGTTGTGTGACATTTACCGAACTTTGTATTTGATTGGGTAACTAAACTGGTGTTCACATTAACCTTCATTTTTACCAAGTAAAACACATAACATCACACTATTTTTACGAAAGAAAAACTCATAGTCGCTCTTCGTTATATATTCCTAGTCTTACTGTTATTCTGTTTGATATATTTTGTTAATAATCAAGGTAAAAATATACTTATGTCCAGCATAGACAGCAGTACTATGAAAAAATTGAAGAGAAAAAATTTGTTAACTTTGTACTCAGTTTTTCATCTGCTTTACAGTTTTTTTCTATTCATCAGATGAATTACTCGATCCTGTTCGCAATTATTTTGGGCGTGTCATGCTTTGTATTTGGATATTTTTATTCACTTTTTAATTATTTGCAACCACAAATGAATGGATCAAGTTCTACTGAGTTTAGAGATGCAATTCATGTTTATAAGTAAGTCAATGTTACTCGTATATATTCTAGAGGTCATATACAGAAAAACAATGAACTTGGCTCTTCTTTTTCTGTATTTTATCGTGGAGAACATGTCGTCGATACATTAGGAGGTTATGCAGATAAGCGCTTTCGACTGCCATGGGTAACTTCAACTATAAGCCAACTGTTCACTATGTCTATGGTTGTTGTTCCTTTCGCATTCGCTAAGTTGTATCAAGAGTAAGAATAAAGTATCCATTTAATCATTTTAGCGGACTTCTGGATATTGATTCTTCGATTCAACATTATCTTCCGCAATTTGTGGTTGCCAATGTCACTGTGTCTGATTTACTCACACACCAGGTATTTGATAACGCTTACTGATATAAACAGTCCGGTTTTCCATACTTTATAGGTCACGTATCGTTAGCTAAATGGAGAGATGATCACAGGAATGCACTGAATGATATCATTAATCAGATACCACCTGTCCTACCACGTAAGTCTAGTAATCAATAATAACTGCTGTAAAGAGACCCAAATGTTTCATCTACACTCTATGGCTTTATTGTCTGATGCAATCGTGCGCAAAGTAGACCACAAGAAACGAACATTGGGACGTTATTTCATGGAAGAAATCGCTTGGCCTCTCGGTAAGTAATGTGAATAGCTTGTGTGATACCTCTGTATATAGATTGTTACACAGTGATTTTCGTGTCTAATCATTACTTAGCTTAAGTTTATGTATAAAATTTAAGACATGGAAATTGTATTGTTGAAAATCTGTTTGTATACTGTTTTATAAACCGACTCCATTAATTTATACTATACTTATTGGACTTAAGGTTTGGATATGCTTATTGGGATTCCACGTACCCAACTTTATCGTGTTGCACGAACCTATCACGCCAATGGTCTAAGTGTAGTTAACGCTATTTTACATCTAGACGTGAAATATGCGTGGACAAATTTGGTCACTGCTGGTTGGCTTCCGTATTCAAAAGAGCGAAATATGGCGTTGAATGTGTTTAATGATTATGAGGTAAGTATGTGTATCATTACAATTACCTTATTTCCGACGACTGCTAATACTTCTACTATCGCTACCACTATTGGGTTTGAACTGAGAGTTACGTCTCTGTGCTAATGCGGTATGGCAACCTGAACTGATGTACGTACGTACGAAGTTCTACGTTGCCATTGATTGACTGATCCATTCATATTATCAACATTATTTTTATTATAATTGATCATAATATAATCAAGCTGTGCAAATCGAAAAGTACGTAGAATTTCCCCAATTATTAACTCGATTTCTTTACCGAAAAACGATATTTGTAATAGTCTGAACAGACTGATTAATGTTAAGTGAATAGTGTTTACGATTAAAATTAGACAGTCTTCGAGAAGGACTCAGACACTCAGACACCATAAATTTACTATAAAATAAAACTAGCGTTGGTGACAGTAACCATAGCAAACTAAAAGTCAAAATTACTAGATCGTTGAGGAGTATTAAATAACTGTCTAATTATTTGTAAATTCATATCAAGTTATTTACTAAATTCAAATTGATACGTACGAAGTTCTACGTTATAACTGACTATTTCCGACGACATGTCTCACAGCGATGCATGTATTTATTTTTATGTTCAACTCAGTTAATAATTCTTAGAACACTATCACGATAACACACCAAGATAGTGCAGAATGCAGATACTTTTGTAGTAACTCCATATATGTTACTGTGCTAACAGAACGTATACTGCAGATTATGTGATTGCATCAGTTCACTGTTAATCCGCGTTAGACAATATAAATATTCTCATCCAGATCCGTAAAATAAGCATTATTTACGTGGTTAAAACTCGGTTGCGATCTTTTTCTAGACCTCAGATTATACGATTCTACGTCTTTCTGTTATTCTTTTTCCTGTTTCAAATTCTGCTGGTGTTATTATTAGTTTGAATTTTTTGATTTCCATTTAAATAAAATCACTACATTAATATTTCTTGTAGCACGTTGTGTTTGGAGCATGTTTGCTTCAGGCTCTAGCTTTTTATCAAAAAATTGTTTAGTCTGTCAGTTGATAACATTAGGAGTATTTGTCTTTTTTCTGGGCAGTTTACCCAGAGTTAGCCAGTCAGTTAGTCAGCTACAAACGTAGAACTTCGTACTTACATACATTAGTTCAAGTTTCCATACCACATTAGCACAAAGACGGAATTGTCAGTGCAAATCCAAATCCCATAGTAGTAGAGGCGACAGAAGTATTAGCATTAGTCGGAAAGATCCAGGTTCAGAGATATTATTCAAAAAGTACAATCTCGTGAAACAAACTTAAGAAAAAGATAAAGGTGATGAAGAATCTAGAGGATTAGGATTTGAGAGAACACAAAGAATGGATTCGCCTGCGCCATTGCATACGGTTTTGAGCTATATCGTTCAAGATCTCTAACCATCGATTACTATCATCTCGCGGACTCCAACAAGGTAGTCGACACCTACCAACATGACGCAATCCACTTGTCAGTTACTTCAAAGATTTGTGCCATGTTTCGGTTTGGCTGTCCCTAGCTTTCTTCCAACATATTCCTACATCGCGAACCATAGCCCGTCGAGGCAGTCGGTGGTTAGGCACACTCAGCACATGCCCCAACTACTGAACTGATTAAGGTTTAAAACTTCATCTATTGATGTGCCATCCTTACCTAGTACATGTTTCCTAACAACTGCATGAGATATTCGGTGGTCCTAGGATATCTCGCCCTACGCCATAAGTGATGCAGGTTAGCAAAAGCCAATCGATCCTTCTGTATCCGTGCTGAGATTTCATCTGTCACCAGGTCATCAGAACTGATAAGACTCCCGAGATAATTGAAGCGGTCAGCACACTCAACTGTTTCACTCCTTATCACTAGTTCAGGTGCCGATGTTAGCCAATCATGAAGCAACATTTTGCGTTTCGAGGGGGAGAATCGCATCCTGAACATGCTTTAATTGTTGCTTGAGGTGGTGAGAAGACTGAGTTTAGGCAGCGTCTCCATCAAACAGAACTATGTCATTGACTTATTCTAACTGCCCTGGTTGAAGGTTCACTCCTGAAAAGTCAGACGAAGATAATGTTACTTCTCTGGTACACCTTTTAATGATAGGCACTGCCATAGAACCTCATGATCAACAGAGTCAAATGCCGCCTTCAGATCCAAGAAGACAACTACAGTGGGACGCCTAAATGTGTTTGTGTTTCAGTACCTGTTGTAGTGTGAATATAAGGACCATACCTCCACGTCCATATCGAAAACCAGCCTGTTTTTTTTCTCGAGTCTGCTCTTCACGATCTCTAGTTAGGCGTCTAAGTATAATCGAAGCTGACAATTTAGATACTATGTTAGTTAAACTGATTCCTCTATGATCGTCACAAGAGGCCTTCTGTTCTTTCTTGTAAATTGAGATGATCAGGGATTGAGACCAGTTGAATGGGATTACGCCCAGTTCCAAGATTCTAAATATGATCTCAGCCAACCTAACTGCTAAAACTGGACCACCATCCCTGAAGATCTCATGGGTAAGCCTGTCAGGCCTTGCTGATCTTCCTCGTTTTAGATTTTCTATAGCTTTCTATTATAATCCGCGATGTGACTATTCGAAATTCTACCGATTCACCAAATTCAGATATTCCAGTTCGTCCTCAAATACTGTTTCGCGAATCTCCAATATATCACGACACAACACCGTTAGACAAAAGTTGTTTATGGGGTCTGAGTACAGAAGTAGAACAATAGTAATAAGACTTGATAGACAATGCATATTTATACAGTTAGGACGACCGTGGCATATGTGAAAGGTGTGAAAACATACAGTTTTACGTCCAGTCATAGAATTAAACTTACAAAATAATTCTTGGGATATTTTTGTATATATCCTAACATTTTCCCGACTTCACGAAGAGTCGTAGGACTTACGTCGATTTGCCATTCAGGTTGGCTGGAGATCGTGGGCGCCTAAAGTGTGGCTGATGGTAAACTAAACTGATCCCCGAAGTGTGGCAGCTGTTACCAATCATCGCTACCTCCTCCATCGCTATTACCTCCGCTACCCACCACTGTTCGCGATCACTGCACTTAGGCTGACTCCGCTTTTGTCGTGCTCAGAGCCAGACAGGATGAGATTCCGAGCATCTATCAGTTCGGTAGATGCTACTGAAATCCACTGCTTCTCCCTAGGTTGGCTTTGGGGGTCGCCAGGTTAAAAGATGCTATTGCTAAAAATAGGCGGTTATTTGAACATAGCTGCAGCAGCCGATCGCCATTATGTTCTTTGAGTTGCGACACCATAAGATTCACACAGGTTTCTGTCCTCAGTCTAACTACTTGAGCAATAAAGTCACCAGCCTTTATTACTATGTCAGAGCGCTTAAATTTTTGAAGAAGGTTAGAAAGGTTCCTGTAAAATTTATCCTTTACCTTGTTCGAGCTGCATTCAGTGGGAGCGTAAGTACAGACAACTGCGAGTTTCCCTATCCATCCGAGTCCTTACTGTCCCGTTTAGTCGGACAGCGCATAAGCGAATGTCTACGGGGATCCAGTTCAAGAGAGCTGGTTCTGCCGTAGGACAATACTATACCTACACCAGCAAGGCCACGGGAAGCAGCAGAAGGGCTTCCAGATGCACGAAGCGTAAAACGAGCTGATTCCCTATCTGCTCAAGCTGAAATCAAATTGATGATTTGACTCGCATCTTGTATGCGTGTTTCGGAGCCGCAGCATACATCGACGACACGGGATCCCAGAGTTCGACCTAGTGAAGCCTGTACTATTTGACACAATGTTTGACCATTAAGAGCTCCAAAATGTAGTTTAGAGCGGGATTTCAGGAGACCAGGAATAACGTTTTGTGAGCTCGAAACGTTTGCCTCAGCGGCGCGAGGTGATAAAGGAACGAAAAAACGGTTGGTCGTAGAGATAAGAGAGTTATTCGGAGCTTTCGAAGGGATTTAGTTGTGACCAATTCGGCTTCGTGTACTTTTAAGAGTACAAGAGCGGATGTTACTTCCCGGCTACCCACATCGTGGAAGGGCTCTGGTTGTCAGAAGGGGCATCGGACACGTGAATTCCGAAAGAACTCGGCCTACACCATTAGACGTCATAACTCTTCTAAATTAAGACCCAACTCCCAGGGCAGACTTTAAATGGTTTGGACTACATTGCATACCGACGGGAAATAATAAAACAAAGCCTGACTCTTCTTTTGTCCAGGCTCAGGACCGGCAGTAGCCTTGGAGGGGCTCCAAATGGGTTTAGTTTACCTAAAAGAATTTTCAAGACCTTAAATTGTCTATCGTAGTTTTTGATTTGTTGATCACTTATATGTATCTACCAAATTCATTGCAATATGCGTTACCAAGTATTAAATTTTCAAAAGGAATCCGCTATTTTATGCACAGTTCTACACACGTATGATTATATTTGATATATCAATTTTACACTAATGAGCCTAATGAATGAATGAGTGAATTATTCCTTGTTATCGTTAGTTTTTTTTCGTTTTTATTTATGTACAGTTTTATTATAATTGGAATCCCGACTTTTTGGAAATCCCACTGGTTTCATCACACCTGTTCACAAACGCACGAAGTCTGGCTCGCCTATTTACTCTTTTGGGAAACTCAGACAGTACACCGTTCGTCTTCAGAAGGTCGATACGAGATTGGATGCTGCAGGTTGTCAATACCTCTTCTTACGACCCAGTTCTTCATCGATATTTGAAACTCAGTTCCGCAGGCTTTATGGTCACTAATTCACCCAAGGTACTTTTGATTTGATTAGTAATTTCGAGAATTTATATTACAATGAAGTACATCGCTGTTGTTTTACTTCAAGGGCCATTCAAAATGATGAAATTACGTGTTATTAGATACACCGAAAGAAGTCAACATGGTGCCAGCCACCAAAAAGAAACACGGCCTTCACTCAACAGTCATTTTCCGTGCTTCAAGCAAATCTTATATTAAAACATGACACCAGACAGTATTAGATTTCTGCCTTAGCTTGTCATTTTGTCGGAAATGTTTTTAATTGCATCAAATATTCCGGATAAATGTTTAAATATAATAATCTTACTTGACCTATTGAAATAGTTACTTTAACTCTACTCATATTCTAAGTGAGCTGTCAAGTAAATCTCGGCATATTTTACAGTTGTACAATGTTGAAATGTCGGTGTAGCTTCATTGATTATTTTACTGTCAATGATAGAGTTGGAAAGTTGATCATATATTCATTTTCGCATGCTCCTCACTTACTGAATCAGTATGTGGGGAAATTTTTAAAATCTGTAAATTTGTTTGTTGAATAAATGTAAAGGTAATACTTGCTAGTAAAATGATCTTTACAAGACGTACTTTAGGAATAGGATAGTAGCATCACAAATGTTTCAAGTTTGAAAATTATAATTCCTACTTTTTTGCATCACACTATTATCATGGTCAATTTAACTTTACTCTCCACTTTGAGAGTGTCTTAATATCCGTCGTCAGAGGCCCAGGAGACCTATCGGGGACGTCTTATCCAATTAACATTGAGTAAAAGCTTTTCAAAAGCATCTAAAAAGAATGAAAGCCTGTCATATTTTGATGGTATAATTATATTTATCAAAATACGACAGGCTTTCATTCCTTTTTAGATGCTTTTGAAAAGCTTTTACTCAATGTTAATTGGATAATTATATTTATATAATCATATTTATAGGGATACTACCCCTAACTCAGGTCTCATATGGTCGAAAAATGAAAATTTCGGAAACGCGAAAAAATCATTGCCCGACATGAGACAAAGGGTAGTAGAAGTGTTTGGGCCTATTTGCATCAAGCTGGGCTGCCTCTTCTACTATCCTGCGCCATATATGTGTACACCATATGCTATACTGCTATATAGAGCTGAAGGTCTCCTATGGGACTAGAGGTTCGCAGTGTATATTGTGGATGGCTTGGCTTTGCTTTGGTAAGCATTGTTAACAGTCCATATACAAAATTGGTTAGCAGGGTGACCGATTTCACTGATATAGGTGGTTGTTTTGCGACATTTCCGAGGGCCATTGTCATCGGGGTGCTGTATTACATATCACCATTGCTAATAATAATGAGTTTGACAGTCATGTAAGCGGGATGGGTCGAAATGGCCTGTTCATGCGGTGCATGTTGATTGACGCGATCATTGATCGGAAATATATATACCATTGTGTGTATATGAAACGGTGTGAATGGTCCACCAGGGTACAGGTACCTGTGTGGTTGCACCACAGGATTGAGCCGAACTGTTCATGTAGTAATGGTAAAACGTGTCCAGTCTCTATGGTTCTCCTGAAAACCAATGTAAAATTGCTCTGGACATTACAGGGTAAATTTATATAATAAAATTGAATAAATTGTGAAAATAATTATATTTATATCGTTACAGTGTATGTTTCCAGAAGGCTGAGGTCAGAATACTGTCAATGTTTTCGATTTCCTGTACGTGACTAACCTTAGATGAAAGCTTTCACATTTCGCACGTTTTCTCTACTCGGGCTAAAACTGTAGTAGTCTAGGGTTATAAGAGCTGGTAGGGAAGTCAATGATAAGCGATCCGTCGACAAACTCATTAGTTCTGTGCTATTAGCTATTTTATCTTAAAACATTTTGTTTCCTGCTCTCCAAGATCAATTATCAATAAGTCATACTACACAATGTACAATAATATATCCTTTCCTTGGGATAATGGAATGTATCTAGTAAAAGAACTGTATTTCTCTACGCATTGCTCGTGGTGGTACTTTTTGTTTCAAAAGGTCCGTATGCGTCCTTATATCAGAGCTATAGTAAACGCTCATTCTCTACCATAGTGTGAAATTTAACAAAATATACTTTAATTGTACATATAATCCTTTCAACTTTTACAGATATATCTCGAAACTATAACAATATTTTTCCTGGTCATTTTAAGCATAATACACTACCGATATATCTATTTATCATCGTACAAAAATCAACTCAGTATCATCTAGTTAAATTATCTGATTAGTCTGTAATGTTTTTTCTTAAATAAAATACTTTCATCCTCTTTTTTGTACAGAACACTTTGATGTTTGGCATGTGGGATGATATCCTTGGACAAGGAGTTTTCGTTGACCCACAGTTACAACTAACATGGGCCTATGTAACAAATCATGCACATGGTCGATCGCTTAACAATGATTTTATTTTAAGTTCTTTGATTGGCTCTGTTTATTCTTGCATCAAGGAATAATTGGAAATCCCGGCTGATGCAATAAGTTCTGTCTAATTATTATGGGATGTTTTTTTAAGATAGAGACCGTATAAGCATCTTTAAAATCCCATTTAAAAATGTATATACTTTTTATAATTGATTGTTCAACTTATAATTTTTGAAGCTAATAAATGCATGTAAACTTGGTGATTAAAGAAAGAAAATACCACTAATTAGTATTAGATTACCTTTTAAGATTTACGTATGTTGGCGAATTATATGTTAATTTATTATTTTCTACTTATCCACTAACTATTCTAGGTATTGTGATATTATTACACTTTAAGCAATAACAGTATTCATTTAAAGTTCCGGGTTTAAACAACTAAGTACTCATTATTCGGTTTTTAATTCAGGATTGTTGTGTATATCACCCGCCTAAAATGTATCTTCCCTATTGGGACTGGTGTAGGTATAGCATTGAGTCCTAGGGCAGAACTAGCTCTCTTGAACCGGATCCAGGTAGACATTCGCTTATGCGCCGTCCGACTAAACGGGAGAGTAAGGACTCGGAAAGATAGGGACACTCGCCGTTGCCTCTTCGTCATTCCTGCCTACTCTCCCACTGACTGCGGTTCAGAAACCTTTCTGACCTTAAAAAAGTTAAACGCTCTGATACAGTAATAATGGCTGGTGAATTCGATCCTCAAGTAGGTAGACTAAGTAAAAAAGAAAGACGCCTGGATGGATCTTATGGTGTCGTCGCTTTTAGACCGGATAAAGGCGATCATCTGTTGCAGCTATGGTCAGACAATCGCCTATTTCTAGCAAATACTAACTTAAAGCATAAGGAAAAACATCTATCCTGGCGACCCCCAACTAGACTACATTGCCATCAGCCGCCGGTGGAGAGGCTCTACTGAAGACTACCGCTCATTATGAAGCGCTTGCTTAGATTCGGACCATGCTCTAGTGTGAGCGCATATTTGTTTGAGGCTTACTGGACGTAGGAAAGACACATCAAGAAAGCCTCTTAGGGTTCTACCTAATGATAGCAAAACTAAGAATATATTTCAGGAACAACTCGAAAAACAGTTTGGCGACCATGTAAGTGATCCCTATCCTGAGGCTGCTTGGAATGATATCCAGAAAACCGTGGAAACAGCAGTGATATCTGCTAGTAAGATAAACTATAAGGTTAGGGAGAAGCAGTGGATTTCAGTAGCATCTACCGAACTGATAGATGCTCGGAATCTCATCCTGTCTGGCTCTGAACACGACAAAAGCGGAGTCAGCCTAAGTGCAGTGATCGCGAACAGTGGTGGTTAGCGGAGATAATAGCGATGATTGGTAACAGTTGCCACACTTCGGGGATCAGTTTATTTTACCATCAGCCACACTCTAGGCGCCCACGATCTCCAGCCAACCTGAATGGCAAATCGACGTAAGTCCTACTGTGGTGCGAGCTACTTATAAGTAGTATATAACGTGAGTGTCAACGTAAAGTCTGGTAGCATAATATGGGGGGAAGATCAAGAAAGGAAGAGTTAGAAAACAATGGAATTTGTATGAAACGCATGAATAGTGACAATGGATTGATGTTTGGCAACAGGAACAGTCCAGTTCCATGGGATGAACTGATCTTTTGCAAATGAACGATTTACGATATGGTTTTCCGATTTTACTGAGTAACTGCGTAATTTTCGTTAAATACAATTCGGTTGCCCCACCTGTGTTCTCATTCACTACATTTGGTGTCGCTGCCTACGCAAAGGATGAAGATTCCATGGCCGAAGGAGTTTGAGGCCGTGGCGGAGCTGGTGGGGGTGAAGGAACCGAAGGCGAAGCTGGTGGTGCTGAGAGGAAGGGCGAAGGCCGTATATGACAGCCTGGACTGTGCTGGCGGGAAGACATCATGGGAGGCGGTCATTGAGTGGCTGATGACCGGCAACAGAAAGCTGACCCGAACCTTCGAGAGGTAATCAGAGTGATAAAGGAAGGAGAAGACGTAGAAAAACGAACAACGGACAAGGAGGTAATAATGTTACTTAAGCAAAAGGAACGACTGAGAGTGAACACATATGGAGTCCTGACCTGGCGGGATGATGACGAGAATTGGGTAGCAATAATCCCAAAAGATCTGCGCCAGGAGATGATTCGTGAATGTCACCAGGTAGCGCACACAGGTATTGCAAGGACAACTGATTTGCTGCGGCAAAGTGCGTACTGGCCAGGTATGAGAGACGATGTTGCACGATATGTATTAGCGTGCCAGCGATGTCAACTAATGAAAGGGGATCGATGCATACGACCGCGATTGCAGTCAATCCCAGTAACAGCAGTTGATGGTTTGTGGTCAGTAGATGTTATGGGACCGTTCCCGCAGACGACAAAGGGTAACCAGTACCTGCTGGTGATGACTGAGCATGCCGCACGATGGGTAAATGCCGTGCCGATGGCGGACCAACGTGCAAGGACGGTGACGGAAGCGGTAATGTGGCACATTGTGGCGGACCATGGGATACCAAAGATAATATTAACCGATCAAGGTCCCTGTTTCGAGAGTGATGAGTTCAAGTCCCGTCTAAAGCAGTTAGGTATCAAGAGAGTACGAACAACGCTGAATCATCCACAGACGAATGGGTTAACGGAAAGGAATAACCGAACGCTAAAGGAATGGCTAGCATCTAAAGGGGATGACTGGGAGAAAGAATTACCATTAATATTGCTGGCACATCGTGCCTCGGCACAGGGAACAACCAGGAAGTCACCGTTCCAGCTGATGTACGGCAAACGGCCGAGACTACCAACGCATGATAAAACCTGGCCGCAACAACAGAGATGGAATACAACAAGATTGAGAACAGAGCGGAGACAAGCAATCAGGAATGTGAGAGAGAAACAAAAATCAGACATGGAAAAGTCAGAACAGGAGAGAAAGAACTGGAGACCGTTTGAAGTGGGAGACCAGGTGAAGTGTAGAGAACGGAAATATACCACAGGAAGAGGGCCAGGGTCAGGTAAGCTGATCCCGAAGTGGGAGGGACCGTACGTCGTTACCGAGAGGCGCGGCGCAGTGTATGCGATCCAGAAAGGAAACAAACAGAAACGCGAGAATGCCAGTGAACTCCAAAGGTGGTTCCAAGTGCGCCAAGAGGGCGAGCCACAAACACTGATAAAGAAGACGGCTGTACGGAGATCGGAAAGACTACGACGACAGCTTATTAAAAGGGGGGACGAGTGTGGTGCTGTGGTGCGAGCTACTTATAAGTAGTATATAACGTGAGTGTCAACGTAAAGTCTGGTAGCATAATATGGGGGGAAGATCAAGAAAGGAAGAGTTAGAAAACAATGGAATTTGTATGAAACGCATGAATAGTGACAATGGACTGATGTTTGGCAACAGGAACAGTCCAGTTCCATGGGATGAACTGATCGTTTGCAAATGAACGATTTACGATATGGTTTTCCGATTTTACTGAGTAACTCTGTAATTTTCGTTAAATACAATTCGGTTGCCCCACTTGTGTTCTCATTCACTACACTACGACTCTTAATGAAGTTGAAAACGCTAAAGGAAATCAGCAGGGCTTGAGCGGCTAACTATTGAGATTTCTAAGGATGGTGGTTCATTTTTTGCAATGAGATCTTAGTAGGATCTGGGAACCGGACGTAGTTCCATCTGGATGGTCTCAGTCAATATTTGTCCCAGTCTGTAAAGGACAAGAGTCCTCCTATGACAGTCACTCAGGCACCAGTCTAACCGATGTCTTAACAATTAGCTTCGATAATGCGTGAATGTGTAACTAGGTCTCGTGTAGAAAAATCTCCAGAAAACCAAGCTGTTTCCAGACCTGCATAGACCAGACATTCACACTTCTACACACCGATACACATTTCCTAGTCCAACAACGATGGTCTTCCCTGGAACTTAAAGCGGTATTTGACTCTGTTGATCGTGAGGTCCTGTAGGAATGCCTATCATTGAAAGGTGTACCAAAGAAACACATTAACCTCATACCAGCTCTACTCAAACACTACTGATCGGGTGAGAGTTTGTGAACTGTAGTTGGGACTGACTACTACGAGTGTTCGACAGGCTTGTCCTCTTTATCCATTCTTTTTAACTTTGTCATTGACCAGCTTCTAGAATCGAAACTTCCATCAGGAGTTGAACTTCAACCAGTAGATTCGCTTGTTGACTTGGAGTATACCGATGACATAGTTCTATTCGGTGAAGACGCTGACAAAACGCAGTCTTCTGACCACCTCAATCAACAATGCAAGCATTTTCGCGATGCGATTTCCCCCCTCGACATGCGAAATGTCGCTTCATGATTGGCTAGCATCGGCACCTGAACTAGTGACAGGGGATGAAGCAGAGGCAGGTTTGAAGAATGCTATGGGCGACCAGACCAAAACACGGCACAAACGCATGAATTCACTGACATCAGGACAGCCATGTTGGTAGGTGTGGACTACCTGGTTGGGGTACGCGAGATGATAAATCCACTCTTCGTGCTCTCGTAAATTCTAATCTGAATTCCTCATTACGCTTATCTTTCTTGTTAAGTTTATTTCACTAGATTATAATTCTTGAATAATATTCTCGTACGCTAATCTTTCCGATTACTGCCACTATGAAATTTGAATCGACAATTACAGTTGACTGTATGTACGAAGTCCTCTGTGGAGGATGACTGACTGACTATCGTCATGAAGAAATGGCATGGCGAATGCCCCAAACAGGGTTACCTGTTTGACATGTTCTTTTCATCTATAGCTAGAGAGTTTGATTTAGGTAGACTTCTTTTGTATGATGACAGTAGAATGATTTACCTTATTTGTTAATTACCATGATAGCAATAAAGACTAAGTCCATGACTAAAGTAAAGGACTTGTCGGATGGGAAATATTCATTATAGTTATTTTATTTCATTGAATAGCCCTCCATTGCCATTTCCTGTAAAATCTAAAGACATGATTAATATGTTCTGACAATGTGAAGTGCCCCGTAAGGTGGAGCGTTTCCGACAGATTGATAGCGTAGCTACGACTAGTCCTTTAGGACCAGTGCTGGCTGAGGTTTTTATGACATATGTGGAAGGTCCATTTGGAGACTCGGTTCAAAAGATGTCTACATAAGTGGTACATGTGTGATATCAGAGTCATAAGTGGTAAATTGAAATATGTGTACCTCTCTTATTAAGGAAATTCAACACAATTCGAAAGCATATTTGTTTTACATGTGAAGAAAAGATGAATATAAATTTCTATCTTAATTTCCTCTTACCCTTTATTCATACAGTTGGACTTTTATCTTTCCATATATAAGTATGTGATCAGTGTTCAAAATGTATCACATAATTTAAATAACCTTCGTCTTCGCATACCATTATCCAAAAGCTTTTATTAGGAAAAATACATCATTTTTTAAAATAACTGTATTAGAAACTGGTATTACAAAGTAAAAAATGTAGATGTAAAAAACGGAAAATCTTGATATGATATACCCAAACTAGTTTGTGTACAACATTATACGTTTGGTTTCAAATGTTTATGTTGTGTAACCTTCGGTTTGTTTAGCAGTACCTTACATGACTCATAATCCTGTTCACAGTCACTAAAAGTGCTCAGAAAACTTAGTTGTGATTCTAAATTTCGACTTGTTGGGACAATACTGTCGGTGAATTTCGATCTATTCACTTGATGGTGCTGACCAGCAATTCTACTAGAAGCTGTACTAACATTGGATATTGAATTACGACCAACTAGTTCTGTAGAAGTGGTTGAATGAATAGATGTGAGATATTTTAGCATAGAAAAAATGACATCTGGACTGCAACCTAGTGCAATCAAGCCATATATCCTTCTAACAGAAAGATATTTAAAAAAAATTAAATTTTATCAAAATAAGAAATTAAAACAACTACACAAAAATTATTTTCTTCAATATATAACCCAGTATTCAGATACATGTCGTCCTGACAGTTTAGCGGTACGTGTAATAATAGTAACGATAAAGAAATACTAGGAATCAATATCCTAAGGAATATAGTGCCAGGATCTATTTACACCAGTCCCAAAGATTGTGAATCACATCATACTTCTGATCTTCAAGCACAAACTAAGCTAACTTAGAGACATAAATTTGAGGACTTACACTTTTAGGGACGGATTAGGCCAATAGTCAATGATGCCATGGACTACTACTAAGTGGTTGTTTGGGAACCTTCGGGATTTTAAAGTATGCTCTACAAACCCACCAAACTGAACGTATACTCGGAAAAGTGCGCTTTTCAGTTTCCAATCGGAAACAAAAGGTATAGCTTATCAAGTCAACCAAATGTTATGTGTACTTCTGTTTTTTAGTAATGACAAACCCAAGGGAATTATTTTGATTTCATGCTTCGCCTGAACTAACTAGATTGGTAATAAATACGTAAATGGGGCCATGGCAAAAGGGCAAAACAGCCATTAAATATTCAGGTCTTTATTCCATAAACAATGAGTGTATTATGATTTATTTTCAATCATACCATTTTGGTGTCTGACCAGTAATTACAAAAGGCTTTCAAGCTACCAGCCAAGAGCCTTGTTTCTTCGTATACGACATCAGAGACTGATTTCGATAGTTAGTTTACTTAAAGCCTTTTTTAAGTATATACCACACTGGATAGCATCAAATGATAGAGTGGGATGTCAAGTTACGCATGGCATAAAACTTAAGGCGTTTCAAGTCCACAATTCTACCAAAATTAACCACCCAGTAGCCAGGCACGAAATCGCTAGTCTGATCTTCAGTCACAATTTACGTGAGATGCATGCGTACTACCCGAATATCTAATAGGAAACAGATCGGATGGCACTTAAACCTACAACTCGGTGAGTGAGAGTTAAGTATGTCAGTCACTGGGGCATGCTCCACAGAACCGCCCAGAACAATTTCGAGTGCATAAAACTGCCGACCGTAATCAACTCCTGACCCACGAAACTGCCATTTTCAAGCACTGCTTCAGAGATCCTAATGATTACATCCCTGTGATGTATTGATATATTTTCAAGTTTTGAGGACAGACAGACAGATACAACGCAGAACTTCGTACATAAGTACATCTGTTTATGTCGCCATACCACGAGAGCACAGAGGAGGAGCCGAATTTCAAAGTCTGGAGAACCGAAAACATATTAGACTCATAAAACTGACCCACTAAGCAATACATTATTGAGTCGGACTTTCTTAAAATACTATAACGAAATTCGCCTAAAACGAGATAAGTCACATAAAGAACATAAATCTTAATGAAAAAGTTCCCTCATACCTGAAAACTTTGTTATCCATGGGAACTCCCGCTTTAATTGCAAGCTCATATAGAGCGACATCATTTGGGACGGTCATCTGAAATGCATTAATGTCTTTGTAGCAAAACAGAAATAAAGAACCAAAAAATTATTAACATAAAACACGCACAGATTTATACAAGCATAAATGACTCAAAAGTGTTAAATGGAAAAGTAGTTTCACCGTAAAGCATGCCCCAAGACAGCCAAAATATGAGAATAGGTAACAGCAATAGTGAAGTCAGTTTACTTCAAGACGGGATCTCTGTACACTCGGTTGGATTTTATAGGTATTGATTCGACCTAACTAGGTACAGCAGCTGCCCCTGGTTATATCACACAAGCTAATACAATAAGTCACTAAATTACAGTAATAAGGAATCGTTTGCCAGAACTCAGTAAGAAGTTAATGGAACAGGCAACTCAATGAAATGATTAGGCCGGCGTAATTTGTTTTGTCTTTACTCAAATTATTGGCCAATATCATGTCAAAATTTGTAAACATTTTGTACAAACGGAACGGCTTGAATTTTGGTACTGTTTTACAACAAGCGCGCTAGAACAGAAAACCCAAGGATTGATGAGAATTGAGGATTCCTGTGAACAGAAATTGTGCAAGCGTTGAGAAACAGATCTGATCAAAGAGGATAATGCACATCAGTTACTTGGAGGAGTGCTTCTCGATCTTGAGTACGAGGACCATATTGTTGTATAGTGCGACAACACACATCCTATACAAATCGCACTTAGTCGCTTCGCAACCACTGTGCGTACGTACGGTATGTTCTTTGCGAAACACTTTTACAAGACTGGCAAGATTCTGTACCTGCACTCACTGTCGAGAGTGTAGTCAGAAGTAGTCGGGAAATTCGTGTGTTTGGGCAGCTGTGTGAATGCTAGTGGTGGCATCAGTGGTGAGATCAATCTACGTAAAGTGAGTGAGAGCGGCCCACCTTAGAGCCGTCATGACGTTGGCTCGGTTGTAGAAGATCAAGCCAGTGAGGGTAGTCTTTCTCCGTGTTTGCGAAACATGATCTCTTCAAGTTAAGGATGTGTGACGACTTTCCAAGTTTATTTATTGTTGTTTCTGAAGGATTACTGACACTCAGTAACAACTCAGTTATTATTACTCAGGTTCGGCGACTCAACTAGTGACACCATTTTGAAATACTGGCCTCAGGGGCTTGGACATGCTACGAATGTCATCCTGGTGGCCTACATATTGTGGACCGGTTGGGAAAAGTAGCGGTCAGTTTATGAATTGGAGTCGGGTATGAACAGGTTACATATCCTCATTTGTGTGGCTCATATCCATCCCGATACTCAGCCATATCAGTATTTGTATGTAATAAATGAATAAATAAAATGAATGTCTTAATCGTTGACTGACAAAAAGTGCCGGGCGAATGCTTACATTACGAAAATTTACAAAGTAAAACCCATAGATGGAAACGAATTAACTGAAGTGTTTGCACAATGCAGTCTCATAAGAATGCCGTATGGCACCGCTAACACAAGCTCCCATCATGACTTTTAGCCAACTACTTTGACGAATGACTGATGATAAGTGCAGATAGCTCTATTACGGAATGAGTATCAACATTGCTTAGTTCAGTAGGATATTCTGAGACTGTTTATTACCCTATTTCCTAGTAACAATTATTCATGTGCAACAGTGAGTAGAAAAAGGCTTAATTGTAATGCAGGTAATAATCCTATAACATAACGCAGTCTACTAAAGTTTTTTTGTTGATTATATATATCTTAGATTTGATCATATGATTTACCTTTAACGACAGGAGTATCTAGCTTCAACGTCCCTGAAAAACAATCCCCAAATTCAAGGTAGCCAATGTGACTTTCGCGCTAATTTAAGAAGTCGCTGATGTTAAACATTCACTGGAAATCAAATTTTTCTATCTAGTTCTAGAATCTTTAGTACGGCGTTTTTTGCATACAGTGAAGTTTTAAGGTATGAAAATTACCACCAGAAGTGTAGCTGATCTTTGTTCACAATATAAGAAGCCAGTATTCGTAGCACAAGTGTCAGTGTGCTTTTATTAAAATTGGGTTATTAATAATACTCCAATTTTTTATCCTATGTTTGAATATGTAGCGAAGCAGCTTCAGTCAATTTGTCAACGTTTAGGCCTAAATATTATAGTAAGCGAAGTATTTTAAAAAATAACCTCGTCTAAGTTTCTATATCCTGTCGAGTCATATGAGTTTCGGACTAAACGTGCACATTTAACAAATAGGCTAACTGCCTAGAGAAATTGAATAGCATACTTAGAGGAATTATTTGTCGTCA